TCAATCTACAAACATTGCCCACAGAATTAGGTTTGGGAATGGCTATGTACATACATAAAAGATAAGATCTGAGAAGTATTTGTTTTTAAAAGGCATTTGCCCGAAAGGTGTTGTGACGAATGGGGAGCAAAATAGCCTGCATTGAAAAATTTACAATTAAATTCGCCGAACAGACCTAAAAAATTAATGCAATCTTTAAAGGTTACATATGTGACCGAATAGCTCAGGACTCACAATGGAACATTCCTCCAATCTACACCGGAAATGTGTAGTAATTTATATCAAAACGTTTAGCCTAAAGTTAGGAATAAAATAAGAATAAGTTAGGAATTATCTGTCCGTTGAATGGCCCTTCGGCGGAAAAATATTGAATGTAACGGTTCGAACATCCGCAAATTTCTTCCACTTGGCACCCCTGAAGTATGAGTTAGGAAGCGTGCACACAATGAGTTACAGATGTTTTGGTAGTTTTACAAAATGGGAAAATTTCACGTTTGTTCATGATGAAAATATGTATGTATGTATATGATTTTATTGCAATATTGTTACCAGAAAAAGTATGTACATATATATGTAGGTGACATTTTTTGAACAATTTTGATTACATAATTTAATTGATTTTTATGGCTTGTGTAGAACATGCGCCATTTATTTCTTAATTCATGCCATTAATGCACTTGACAGGCAAATGGAAATAATTATCTAGTAACAATTTTCTTACCAAACAATACCTACCGTCGTTTCATTGTGGACTTTTACGGAAATACCCCTTCCTTTGGAAACGTCACTAAAGCCGTGGTTAACGTGTCTGCTATGACATGCATGATCTTTAAGACTACAATTCTTTCAATCACTTTGACCGTACCGACCTGAATCCCAAACGGTTTCAACGCCTTAATTTCCCTCACGATTATTTTACGTCGACTCGTGCCACGCCCCTTGATGGAATGAAACAGATTTTCCGAGGCCTCACCCACCGACGAGGTGGTCAGAATCGCAAGAAATAAGATAATCACACAGTTCTGCAGAGTAACTGGGAACGGGGCATACTCGAAAATGCTGACATTTCCATGAAATTGAATCGAGGCAAATGCTGAAATAAAAATACATTCGCCAGGTCCCAAAAAGCAGATGAATGAGAGCATCCCCTTCGTGATGGAATGGTTGAATGCGGTCACGAGCACGTGGATGGTGCGGTAATCTCGAATTTTACTGCGATTAGGTGCCTTTGAGTTCCTGCAGAAATTAATCCGAAATAATGTAAGGACTTTATTCATGCGAATTAACATATATTCACGCTAAACTCATAAATAGCGGAAATGAGAAACTTTCAATTGAGAACTTGCAACTATGCTTTATGGTTTTCACAGTATTACCCAATGTAGTAACAATCGATAACAAACTTAAATTGAAATAAATGTTAAAAAGACAATTGATCCCCTAATGCACAGATTTGTAGGAGATATATTTGCATACCAATGGCAGAAAAGGTACAGAAAAGTAGATAGATTTATCAAACTTAATCCCCCGTTTTCCTCCTTGGCTGCATATATTCTCGCCAAACCAGAATATTAAAAAATGATATTTTTTCAAATTTCGTAATGATTAAGTGAAGTTGTGATTGAGTGTCATTAATTTGCTTAAAATCGTGGAGAATATGCCGGTCGCCCTCTATGGCGACGTAGACGGTGACTAAAATATGGAATCCGTCCATCCCGTCCACCATTGCGGCTGAAGTTTTCGAGAAGAATTCCAGCATAGCAAATCCAGCAAAAACAAATGGATTTTTTTGCACTGCTTGTTTGAAGAGGGATGAAATGTATTGCGGTTTGAGCGGAACGACAAGAAACATGCCCCAAACGGTGGAAGAAAGAGTTGCCATGACCCACAAAACTGATATTATTTGTAGCTGTAGGATGTTATGGTTTAGAAGTTTTGGTTCTGTACAAAATTGGGGACGATATCTTGCTGAAATTTGGGAAATGAAAGATTTAAATATTTATTTGAATTTGAAGATTTTTAATGTAACCATGCTCCCTTTTACTCTCTTTGCATAAAGCTTCGATATATTGCCCGTCCCGGATCTAAAGACCGGAGTTTTGCCTCGCGCCAATCATGTGCCCATTTAATTAACATTGGAGGCGGATTGAGACGATGGTTGGCGCGAGTCATTAGATAAGAGACGCACAATACAAGGGCATCAAATTTCATTTTGTTTTTGTTTTGTTTTTGTTTTTGAGTTTTGAAAAAAATATAAATTTCATATGATTATGAAAAGTTAGTTTATGATACAATAAAAGTATCAATGTGAAACAAAATCCGTGTCTGAAAAAATGTATTTTGAGAAAGACAAATGAATTAGCAATTCTAACCAAATCGTTAGATTTGTAATAACTAAGAAAATTTATTTAGGTATTTATATTGACTCTTTTAAGTAGCATCATTAGCTAAACGAAAACATAGTCCTCGTTGCATAGCAAACACATTTCTAGGGTTTTCAGATTGACAGAAAAGGTCTTCACAAAGTGTTTAACGCTACTTTACTGAGCTTATTTCCTATAATTTTCTCTTTTCCTTACGCACCTGACATCGCACCATACAATTTTTTGACCCCTTTAAACATCGCTGCAACATCGGAGCAGGAAACTTGCGAATTTCGGAAACTTAAGAGACGCCAAATGTAATAATGTGTCCAAATGAGGATCCAAATCACCGCGACAAAATTAACATGACCCGAACCAAGGACTTGTACAGCCAGCCGAACAATCAAGTAGGCCAGGTAAACCACCATATTCCATTTGGTGAGTGGCACAGTAATTCTTTTTTTGAAAGTAGACGACAATTTCAAGCACTTTTGCCTCTCCTCATTCGTATGGCGTTCCGTGAAATAAATCTGCAACGTTAACCAAAATTCGAAGGGTATTTAACGTCTTGTTTTCCTGCATTTTGAAATACTTCGGGCTTTCTGGCAATACAGATTACACACGTTTGGGTAGATATATGTACTCTTAATATTACTTTAGTTGGACGGCGGAGTTACTTTTTCTGTGAACTATCATAGTAGGTTTGTTCCTGACTGATAGTGTCCCGGAAAAACAAACCTTTAAAAGTATGTAGCTTATTCCGTGATAATTCCTTAGAGGTAAATGGGTAAAATCTAAAACTATACATACTACACTCTTAAAAATAATTTTACCCTTTGTAAAAGTACATGCAGTCTGAATTAAATATTAGTTAAATAAGCTACACTCTTAGGAAACTGGTATTAAATCATAAAGAATCATTACTGGATGGAGTACATACATACATATGTGATTCTACCGGCATCGGTAATATTGATCGTTACGGCGTAGGTAATGAAATGGTTACCACTCAGAATCATACAACTACATATAACCAACCCGGTAGGGAATTATTGCCAAATCAATACCACTACGGACTACATATGTGACTCTACCGGACGATTTACAGTATATGCTAAGCAAATCAAGAGTAACGTTAATTTCATAAAGAGTAAAGCTTTCTCAGGATTTTATATAGTTTGCTTGATAAAATTGGGGGTGCGTATTGTAAAAAAATTAACACTATCTTTAAGAGTGTATACAATTTACTTTGGATTGATTTCCAGACTTCATACATAAATAAATACTAGTGGCACGTACATACAGAACTGTATGTACGTAAGACTTTCTTACCACCCCACTGCTGTTGTCGTGTTACAATAAAGAATGAATGGGTACGTTTTTCAGAAATTGATGACTTTATAAATACATATTTGTGTAGAAATTACTAGGTGCCAAATTTCCTGGAAATGAACGAGAAAGCATTCGCCTACAATACTGTAGGATCTAATTCCTGGTGGGAATTAAGTTTTAAATGCCCAACAAAAACACATCGTTTGGCTCATGTCTATATTTACGTAGATGTGGCTCCGCGCATAAAAAAACGAAAGCTGACATTGAGGACGCAAACCATGTTCGACAAAATAATAATTTCCCCCCAATTAATTATAGCTCGGAGTATTTTAGGAATAATGATGTTGAGTATCACGAAAATCTACCAGACTATCGATATAACTCACAAATGTGTCGCTGAAGAATGTGAAGACTTATTTGACAACTACAATTCCAATTTAATTTAACTATTGCTTGCAGTGAAGCTTTTATTTCTATAAAATTGGCACAAATTAATAATTTTATGAGAAGACCCCCTGACTTGAGGTGCTTCTCCTTGTGAGTCTACTTCGGGACTTTTTGTGAAGTTAACAACAAAGCTAAAATGTGAACTAAAAACGCCTACCATTAATTCTGGTTAAAACTAGATTATTTGTAGTCGTGGCAGTTCCACGTCACCTTAACCTTCACAATAACCTTCATACAAAATATATCATATTCTTACATACGTATGAGCCGGTCACTTTACTCTATGAAAACTGTCTCTTACATAGAGTGCAATGCTCTCAATCTTCATATCACACAAAATCATGATAAAAATACATGCCTGCATATCATTACATTTAACAGATGATTATATGTGATCTCTAAGCGAGAATAAAGGCGTGAAAAGCTTCTGGAGTAAAGATTTACACATGAATTTGCATTATTCTTTAAAATTGTAATGTGATAGGTAGTGTACTGTGGCGAATTTGGAAAAGAATCTCGTTGTCCAAATAATACTTTGATGTGAGTTTTTCACTTCTACTTGGAAAATGCTTGTGTGTCAAGTCAAAAAAATAATAAGGCTAGGTTTCTAAGAAACCGTAAAAATATGAGAATTTGAAAAACTTGCTCTGAGCAAGTTGCTCATCACTGTCCAAATAATACTTTTATTAACTGTACGTATAGCAATGGGAAAACAACACATTTAATTACAAAAAATAAAAATTTAACCTTTTTCAACCTACACAGAAATTTTCTAGCGAGTTCCAAATTTTCTCAAAATCGAGCCAAAAAATGGCACTTATTGAATGAACCTTTTAAAAAAAATATTGAGGGTCAACGTTTAAATGTTCTGCAGGGTTTTGCAACATTACAAATAGATTTATTTACAATTTCCCTTTAAATATATGCATACATACATAAATAAACTTTATCCCTCTTCGAAATACATTGCGTGGACTAGATTGAGTTATCATAACTTTGGTAATGCAGCCTCGGAATGTTGCATAATTTTCCTCACTTTTTAACTAAATGCGATGTCATTCGTATCATATTTTCAGGGCAAGAATTAGGCCGAATTCGAGGTGTGATGATGTCATGACTTATTTAAAATTATGAGGCCCACTCTTTCAATTTTTTCACGTCTGCTTCTTCCTCGGCTCGCCGAGCTGCAAACAATTAATCAGTTATATTTTTAAAATTTGCCAATAATTTATTCAGATTTTAAACCACACATTCGTAAAAATAATTTTACTCTTTTGAAAACTAAACGCACTTTGAATATAATATTAAGTAAACTATAAAAAATCCAGTGTAACGTTAACTTGATGGAAAGTATGTAAAGTTCTCTTAGGATTTGATGCACTTTACTTGATTTATAATTCTGAATTCATTTAATTTTCAAAAGAGTTACATTATTTTACGAGTGAAAATAAATACCTGACGCCTCTCGGGTCATTTTCGAACTGGACGGAACATCTGGCAGCTTTAATTCGGGGTCTGGCAGGACTTTGTTGGACTTTATTTTCGCATTTTCCTGCAATTCTTGCGCTAAAAGTTCCTCCATCTCTAATTCTTCTAATTCCCGTTCTAACTCGGCTTCATCGACATCCTGCGAAAATGATGTCGGGTTCGAAATAGCGTTCGCGATCTCGGCCGCGACTTCGCCCTGTTCCGCGACATCGTCCAGCATATCGTGCACCTTGTCAGCGTCCCTGTGCAAAAAAAATCGTATTCATTTATGACACCAAAAATTTAAGAAATTTGTCTTCACTCACATATTCTGGTTCGCGCCTTTCATCGCTTTAGCCGCTTCGCTCATCGCCTTTAATACTGCCGTGTTCGTGTTCGCGCTTTCCAACGCGTCCCGCTGCATTTCGATGGTGGACAGGGTGCCGTCAATTTGTTGGAGCTGTTTTTCATAGCGTTTCTTCCTTTTCAAGGCTTGAAGTGCAGCTAAAGACAGAAATATTGTATACACTCTTTGAAATAATATTGCCCATTTCCTATGTAAAATCAAGCTCAATTCCAAATTAAGTAAACTACAAAAAAATCATAGTAAATTTTACTCTTTGTAAAGTTACGACTACTCTGGATTTCGTGTAGTGTACTCCATACACGATTTGGTTTTCATTAATATTTCAAAAAAGGAAAATAATTTTTAAGAGTGCAATTTCTTAAATTAAATCCATATGTAATTCCCCGATACGGTTTATTTGGACATTTGTAACCCTGGTAACGCTTGCATTAATTAAAACAAAATACTGCCACTTGTCAAACTTTGGAGATATTTCTGACCGGGTTACAAATTTTAATTTAAGTTTGTTAATTTTGCAAAGTTTAAAAATTTCCGAAAACTTTACCAAGGTATAATGTACAAATTATGTACCTCACTCACCTGGCTTATTCTTTTTCACATTTTTAACCACGACTTCTAACTCTTTTTCCACCCTTTGTTCCAAATATTCTTGCTTTTTTCGCAACATTTCTTCAATATCGCGAAGTTTTTGGATCCCTTCGGAAGCCGATGGCGTTGCTGGAGACTTTTTCGAAGTGAACATTTTCTTCATTTTGACAGTGTTATTGGATTCACTTTGTGTACATTAAATTTCTAAAATATTGTGTTTTCTATCAAAAACTGGTGCAAAATGACATAATTTACATACTCAGTTTATGAAAAAATTAGTAACCTTTTTCAACGTTCATTTCAACCTTTACAAATATTTTCAAATAAATACGCGATTTAAACACTTAAATTCACAACTTCACACAAGTTTCTCAGTTTAACATTTATAAAATTTAGAAACTTTAATATGTTTACAAAGAAATTCATGAATTGGAAAAATTTACTAACTTCAAATCCTTAATTTTCATTTCTGCCCTATTGAACTATATTTTTTACAGTTTAAACTTTATGTTTATGTTATGGGAACACTTGCTATGGGCAACTGCACATATGTATGTAAGGCCTGGAAATCAATGAGATCATCTCACAACCAATGCTCTGCTCACAACGAAGCACTCGACTTTACCCGAGTTAACGCAATAAGCAGGAAATCGTGGTTGTCATGACTCATAAACTGCAGGTATCTCGTACATGTTATGGATTGTATATCTGACGCGTGGTTAAAATGTTCACAAATCATGCCATTTATGTACATACATACTGCTTTTTAAGACATTTCATTTTGGCTTGTGCTCCATTTTGTGCATATCAATGCATACCTAAACCCATTCATTTTCATATCATTACGTGTATCGATTTATTCCCGATTCGTCTGCAAGATTACTCGCGTTAATGTTAAGGTGTACGAAGGGCGTATGAAAAAGATGTACATATGAATAAGAGGTATGAATAAGAGGTATGAAAACGTGTACTTTAAAAGTCTAGTTAGATGTACATACATACGCACTTTTTAAAATAATGTTAAATACTTTTGAAAAGTAAATTCACTCTAAATTTTATACAAATAAATGATGTGTACTAAATCCAGTGTAACGTTAACTCTGGTAAAGAATAAAGTTTACCTGGTATTTAGTATATTTAATTTCCTTAATATAGGATTTATGTAAACAGACACTACTTTTAAGAGGAGCATTATGTTTAAGAGTATAGGGTACTGCTAAATATCCAAAGGATCATCAAAATCTGAGGTTTGGAAATGCATACATAGGTAGTAAAGTTTTCTGATAATATTAACAATCTTATGACGCCAGCGATCTCGCTCGGAAACCACGATAATTATGCAACCTTAGATAAATAGAGGGTGTTCCGGAAGTAATGCAACTTTGGTAAAATGCATATATGCAAGGGTATCAATTTGCCCCAAATTCGAAATTGGGTGAATATTGTAGTCCACACATTTATCTAGTAGAATCCGAAAACCAGAAGTCGATATCTCTATCCGTTCCAAAATGAGGTCAAATACCACCAAGCAACTCGCAACCATCGTCTGCCACTACCTCGAAAAAGTGGTTACGCGCTCCAAGAAATTGAGCTGTGTTCACTTTAAAAAATAAGAAATTCCAAAAGTGACGATTTGTTGTGTTATACTAAGGTATGAGCTGCAAAAAACGACTAATCGCAAAAAATATCTGGTCGGTACATTCGTGTGGCAGCCCCGAAAGTAATAAACTTCGTGTAGATAGAAATTTGTTATGTCGGAGCGAAATTCGCTGAAGTACTTGAAGTTCTCACCGAACACCATACATTATTTGAAAGCTTAGAAGTTGGACATCAAATCCTAGAAGGTTCTAGAAGCTTATAAATATAGTCAAGAGTAAAATAAAAGTAGCAAGCAGGAGGGCAGAAAAAATCCTTGACCTGAAGTAATTAAAATTAACCAAAATTGATCGTCCTGTACAAGACGATTTACTGCTCAGATTATCAAAATGCTTTTATTTGCACATAGTACAACTCTCCCACCTTCAAGAAAACCATTTATGCAAAACTGGAAATTAAATATAAGCCAAAGTATCACGCTCCGCCTTAAAACGGATCAAATGCAATTAACATGGGAGAGGTGAACGTTCCCAAATTTGCCAAATACAAGACCTATTGAAAAATTTTAGTTCCTATCCTAGAAAAAATATTGTAATCGAAAAACTTCAGTCAAAAATTTGAACTTATTTCAACACATGTGGTCAAAAATCTCAAAAAAGGTGACCAAAAACAGTGGCGAAGCACTAATTGTGAGCGCCCAACAAAAACGTCTCCAAATTTGGCGGAAGGGGTGTACGGACCATTGGAAGCAAAACTTAATTAACTTTAACCTTTGTCCCATTCTGACCAAAATTTCGCTTTAAAAAATTCATTCGTTGAGTTTATATGTGCATTTGACCAAAGTTGCATTACTTCCGGAACACCCTCTATGATAATTAAACACGTTTTTCAGGATTTTCATAATTCCCACTTTAAACGAAATTATGACGGAATCCGTAATCTACAATTTCCATTTTTACCGTGTCATTTTCCTCGGGAAGGAAACAAACATTAATTCTCGTTTACGGATTCCATCATAATTTCGTTTAAACTGAGAATTATGAAAAATTCTGAAACACGTGTTTAATTATTTACCTAAGGCTACCAAGTTATCGTGTTTCATCTAAGTCGGAGCGAGACGGTTGGAGTCATCGCAAATCTGAATGGCTGTAATTCGCACGGGACTGATAATAATTAATGCATATCATTGATTAATTTCGCCAGCTAATTTATGTAGATTGGCTCGTACATGTCAAAAATTCCTTGTAAAGATTTCCACCTATAGCTTTATACTCAGTAACGATTCCTGGATACTGCTCATGCATATTACACAAGTATGCACTGTATGTAATAGAAATGTATAGTTCGACGAAAAATCGATGAAATAACTAAATCAACCCGATCTCAATCAAACACCAACCACACATTAATATTCTATGACAGCCTAATGGTCTAAAGTCAAAATATATATCTAACCAAACGCCACGTTCAAAATATACATAAATATCTAAACGTGTTAGATTGCATATGCTAAATATGTATAAGTTTGTTGGGTAAAGCTTATCGATTCCTGACTTCATGCATGTCCTTTCCAAGAAATTTAACGGAGAATGCAACACAGTAGCAATTTCACACCTCTAAAATGCACAACGTGTTTACTATACGAAGGGATGAAGAACATAGTTTCACAAAAGTTTGGAAACAAATATAATTTAAAATTATTCACATAGAAAATAAGCCGAAACTTAGTGTTTTTCTTAATGCACCCGTGTTTTCAAAATTTGAAAGAAACCGTAACAAACGCCCAAATCAGTCAAACACTATACACCGTATGCTAAACACTTTTCAAGTGTTTAAAAAATTCTAAAACATATTGCTAATAATTGCTAATAATTAATAGTTTGGTAATTATTGTGAAAGAATTACTTACTTGAGAAATTGTATTTCATACAAATTTTCGATGGTCATACATTTTAAAAATTTGTCCAGAATCTGTGACACAAAAGATTCCCGATTTCTACATTTATTGAAAATCTTTACATATATATAATTTGTAATCTTACAAAGTCATTTTATGTAAACATTTTTGAAATAGTGAATAATTTGAAAAGTTACCACATCTTCAAACATCGAGAGGTTTAATGGTTGAAAATTTATTTAAAAACTCCAGTAGTTTAAAATAAACAAAATTATTATTTTAGAAACAACCAAACAAAATGTTGCACGATCATATCAAAATTATGAAATGGAGCCTGACCGCATTGTCGTATTTGCACTGTTTTCCCATCGAATGGAACTTTTCGGCCGGACGTGTAACTCAGGTCAAGAAACGAAGAAAGTTAATTATCGCGAAAATAGTCGAAATCCTGCAACTCTGCAATTTTGCGTTGATGACTTTAATCATTTATAAGCAATACACGGCGGGACGTGTGATCACCCTTCTGCCAAATATTTTCATGTGGCTCGTTACCCTAACCTTTTACTTGTGGGGGATGGGGATTAATTTGGCCAAGAATGCGGGGGCACTGATAAACACAATAATTCAGTTCGAGGAATGGCTTCAAAACACGTTTCACGAGATGAACATTTTACCAGGCAAAAATTCTGAAAAGTCGACGATTAACAGGTATGATGGGATTACTTTCGCTCATAAAGCAGCCTAAATTCTGAGACAAAAATCTGATAGACTTGCATAGATCCTCCGTGCTGGTATTGATTTGGCATTAATCTATTACCGGATTGGTAATAAATTGTTCCTTAGTAGTAAATTAAAACAACATTACGGAACGATAATTCCTGTTAATATGTCCCAGTGCCCATAAAGTCGCATATATACATATGTACTCCGGGCGGTAAAAATATAATAGTATTATATTATTACCGACCGGAGATACATATGCACTCCGGTGAAGATATGTACGGTGTACATTTGTACTCCGGTAGAAAAGTGGTATTATAATAATACCACTTTTCTAAGAGTGGATTAAATCTGGAGTAAAGGAGTACTTATGTATGTATGTATGTATGTCCACTCCGGATTTTGCATAATTTTCGTAATGTAGAATTTAGAGTGCGTATACTTTTCCAAAAAGTAACATTATTTCAAATACTTTTTATCTTTTTGAAAAGTATACGCACTCTGAATACATATATGTAGATAATTTATTCGTGTTTATATGGGTTAAAATTGGAAAAATTGATGGACAGGTGATTAATCTAAATTGTCTGCGTGTACAACAAAATTTCCTCACAAATTGTTGTCGAAAATGTACCGTAATTATTTAAAATAATTTCTATAACATAAATTAGTCACTTTTTACTTTAAAATTCCAATCATAAAACTTTCCAAAACTTTAATTTTAACAGGAATCAGCGCAAGACTGTCGTCCATCGAATATTGACATTTGTGAATATGATGGCCCCCGTAATGGGGATAACCAGGATGAGACGCCTTAATGGAAATCTCTGCAATCCTGCCTACTTAGGATATTTGGTCGGATATTGTTCCTCCTCTCAGAAAAACCTCGTTCCGGTAGACGCTTTGGGATGGAATGTGGCCAAGTTTTGTGTCATGTTGGTTGACGGATATAACCTAACGACACAAGTTTGGAAATCTTATTTCCAGGTGTTTAACGTGACCATGCTCGCAACGGGATGCATGCTGGACTACACGGATGTACTGATACGGTAAGTTTATTTTACTCGTAACTTAAAAATCAGCTTAATAAATTAAGGACAAGGAAGTTAATGGTTTGATTAGCTTACTCATCCGGAGGCTAATTCTACTTGATTTTTGTTAAACTTATAAAGTTTTATTAAACTTTTAAGCTTTGAAACTTTAAACGCGCCCTTGGAAAATTTTAGGTTTTCTCGGAGATATCAAAATAGTGTAAGGTAAGATAAAGCGTATGCATCTAATTATTTATGTCAAGGAATTTATCAATAATTTTGACTTGGGATTTATTATAGAGAAACCTCCAGAATCTCTGAGTAGCAGCAGGACTTCCAAGTCTTTTATGCTAGGTTTATAATCGGGTCTTAACTACTTGTGTTACCTATCGTTTTCTTTCTTTGTTCTTATGTAGTCTAATATAATAAATGTATGTATGTATGTATGTATGTATGTATGATGATTTATTCCGAACTTTTTCGGGCGAAACGCCCATAAAGTTACATAAAAAGTAAAGTTTGCCTTATCAATATATTATTGATTACATCTATACTATTGGAGTCCTGGTCACCTAGAATTTTTGGCAAGTAAATATTGGATAACTAAATATAGATAATAACCTACAATACAGTCAAGGCAAGAGGGTAAGATTTAGCCGAAGAAGAGCTAAATTTAGCTCCGGCTTTATTTAGCCGATCCGGAGCTAAATTTAGCTCCGAAGGGTAAATTTTTGCTCCAAATCTTCCGCCAAATTTAAATTAT